TCATCGCATGTGTTGCATGGGTCTGCAGAGGAATTTATAGACTGGTATCAGACATATGGGCTAATAGACATATGGACTTGATCTGGACTGGACCTGAATGTTTTCTTAATATACAATCACTCTTCGATATAAAACTCTCTCTTTCACACATATGAGCATCTCTGGATTTCTTTCTCTAGTCAACCCAGACTAACACAATTCCATTATCTTTTAATTCCATGTCTCCATTAACTTTTTGAAGCCGTCCTATTCATAAATAGAAAATATCTGGAAGTATATATTTACGTGTATACTATATATACACACAGTCATAAACTTACATATATAGGAGGGGGGTATCCAAAAAAACCTGGAATTGTGCTGGGTGTAGTGGAGCTTTCATAGTATGTATTTTCCCCACTTTCATAATACACATTATCCCTGCTAGGTGAGCATCAAGCAACTTTCTCTGACTTAGTGCATCCAGTGGCATCGCCTGAGAAGGTTCTCTCTGGTCACAGTGACTTTTTTCATAAAAGTAGTTTTGCTTGAACCTCATTTTTTTTAATGGCTGATTTAAGAAAACAGTGTGTGGCTATAAAATTTTGTTTCCTGCTTGGGAAAATGCTGCAGAAATTGTGATGCTGAACACAGCTTACAAGGTTAGTGCTATGGTAAAAACTAAAGTGTACAAGTAGTTTTCCCATTCCAAAAAAGGTGAAATGTTCATTGATGACAAACCTCATTTTGGACATCTGTCAACTTCCTGAACAAAAATGTCAACTTGTAGTGCATTTGGAGTTCATTCTATCAGATCAAGCTTCCTATTGAGAGGTTCTGAAAGATAGTGTAATAGTGCGCGACAAAAATGTCCTGATTTGTGGCAGATGGGGGGATTGGTTTTGCCACCATGGCAATGCACCAGCTCATGCAGCCATCTCAGTGTGCCACTTTTTGGCAAAAGACAGCATGCCTCTCTTGCCACAAACTCCATATTCACCTGCCCTCACTCCATGCGACTTCTTTTTGTTTCCGCAAATGAAGAGGGACATGAAAGGACAGAGATTTGATGATGTAGAAAAGCTGAAGGAAGAAAAGAGGGAGGTGCTGTCAGCCATCCAAACAGATGAGTTTGGAACATATTTCCAAGAATAGAATAACAGATTTGACAAATGTATTAAATGTAATGGTGAGTACTTTGAAGATGATAAGGCTGTTTTGTAAAAAAAACTGAAATACATAGCTTTGTAACAAAAAATTCCGCGTGTGTGTTTTTATATATTCAATCCATAATAATGGTTACTTCTGAGAAGTATAAGATAGTATAAGATTTCCAGTAATATTACATTGCCAGTATCACTTTTATAATTTAAAAGCTTATACAGTAGTTATCATTTATATGAGGTTTCATTTTCTGCAGTTTCAATTACTGGGCAATCAATGCCAGTCCAAAAATAGTAGCTGAACAGTAAGTCACAATGTCTAGTCATTCATCTCACATAACTTTTATTAGAAAACATTATTATAATTATTCTACTTTATTGTTGTTGTTAATCTCTTACTGTGCCTAATTTGAACCTTAAACTTTTCATAAGTATGAATGTATGCAATCTGCAAGGTCAGTAGTGGGAAACCACCAACCACTCCTTGGGAGAAAGACTATGTGGTACATATAGAATAGTTTGTCAATTTGAGGAGTAAGAGTGTAGAGTCTAGCTTGTCAATGGGATCATAGCCAATGAGGCTTCTGTGTGGGCATGGCCTTCTCCTGATAATTCTGGGAAATCTGCCATTTCCTCCTTGGAGGTGGGAGACTCTCTGCTCACACACTGGGAGACATAGCAGCTGACAAGACACATGGACCCACCCTGATGCAGAGACCCCTGCCAGCGCTGAGATGTTTCCAATGACACTAGATCCAAAGACGTTCTACCCACTGGCCTGTGTACTTCTACATTTGGCGTCA